CTGAAGCGCTGCACAGCTTAATCTCTGCAGATTTCGTTTCCTCAATGGTAGATTGTACTACGATAAATCTGCATTCTGCACCTGACACACAGGCTGACAGGCGGCCACTTCGGCCAGATAAGCCGTGGAGCAGTGTCAAATCATTTTATAGTCCAGGAATATAATAGGTGCGGAATTTTGTATACTTATAAGTTCTTTCTCCGATAACATATGTAGGCATCCAACGCGCGCGCTAGCAGCACTGGCCGGACCGGCCGGCGCGGCCAGCGCGCAAGATCGCGGCCGCAACATCCGCGCCCCGCGCTCGGGGGTTTTAACTCCGAAGGTTTAAAGTGGGCGTCGGGGTATATAACCCCATTTTCGCGACCAATATTGACATCCGGCACTGCAACTTTTTGCCACTTGACCGTGTGGCAAGTGCGCTCGCCTTGAGATCCGTTGTTTCCCATGTTGCGGGTACGAATCGACAAATTTGACATTTTTGCTCGCTTTCGCCCCTTCCTTTTTGCGGCCTTCCGCAGCTGACGTATGGTGACGTTGACCCCTAGGAACCGCGGTACTCTCCGGTACCAGACCTCCGGACGGCCTCCGGTCCCTGCCTGAAGGCCTGACTCCGGTCGGTACCTCATTCTGGCTGGTCTCGTACCGTTTGATGAACTCGAGATTTCTGACGTTCGATGACATCTCGGACTCCTCGATCGCGAGCGATCTGACCGTCCGATCGAGGTGGACATGCATGTCCTACGCCCACTTTAAGCTACGCAAGCGGTACGTACTGTGCACCGCGGTACACTCGGCGGTTACGGTTCCGACTCGGGCCGACTCGCCGACTTTGAGACTTGCAAAGTTACGAAGTCTGCTGCACACTGGTAATGTAAAATTAGAAAATGTGAAATCCAAAGCTTAAACCCAGTGCGGCAAGGCCCCGGGACCCCGGTTCAGAAGTTCAGGGTTCAGGAGAACCCTGAATGGACCCCGAATGAACGCTTTCCGAATATTCATTCAGGGTTCATTCAGGGTTCTCCTGAATCCTGATTTTCTGGAAGGCGGCCGGGTAGGCCTACCCCCGGGCGGTTAGGATAGGTTGAAGTACTAACACTTGACTTTAACCATAGGTACAAGGCCCAACCATGTACCGTATGTTCAGAAATTCAGGATTCAGGAGGAGCCTGAATGAAGTCTGAATGAAAATTTGAAAACTACGCATTTTGACTTCAACCACCGGGTACGTACCTCTTCAGTGATACGGGTTACACGGTACATGCTTTTGCGGGGGCCTGAGCCGGGGTACCTTAGGTACCGGGCTCTTCTTGGTACATTTCAACAAGGTACCGTTACCGTACTTAGTAAGAAATGTACCGGAGCTACGGTACCGTGCGAAAATGGATTCTGAATCCGCTGGAATTGGCGGGATTATTGCCTACGAGGTTGCGCAACCTCGCGCAGAACTTACAGTCGAGCGTTAATGGTGTTGTTCAGGTAGTGAGCGACTGATTCAGGCGCGCATTGGCCTTGCCTGAAAGAGTCCAAATGAATGTCCAAAAATGGAAGTTCAGGCCCCCACCGGCACAGTATGCACTGGGGACGGCCGCGTCTCGTCCTCGTCCGCCGGTGCTGGGGGCGGCTCTTGCCGCCGTTGATGTTGCATCTGCAGCAAATCCGCCATTTGGGGGTAGTCTTCGCCCCGGAGGTCGCCGACGTGAGCTCGGTTCTGGCTCTCAGCTTGCGCCTCCTTCCCGGGCCTACGCTGGATCTCGAGGAAGTCGTGCAGCTCCCGATAGTAGAAGGCGTTGCTGTCCCCGCGCCACGCCCATCCTGGTGGGAGGTCCGGCCTCCCCAGGTGGTCGCAGATAGTCTGGCGCTGGTCCCTGGCAGGGTAGCCCTCCATGCTTCCAGCCCAGGGTGGTCCCTCCTGCCGGGGGGCCGCCTCGCCGGGTCCCGGTGGGTCCAAGACTCCGGGCGTCCGGTCCAGCAGCCTCGTAAGCTGCTCGACCTGCGTGGCCCAGGCGCGCTCAAGCGCCCTCCGCTCCAGCCTCCGCTCGTGGCTGTGGGATTGGAAGATCTCGTTCACGCGCCGTATCAGCCCCCTCCGGTGCTTGGCGATCAGCTCCCGGGTTCTCTCTTG